TCCGTTCACAGTGCACTGCAAAAAAGGGGGGTCTTAAAACAAGATAAAAACACTAAATCTGAGGGAAAATGTACTCAAAACAAGTGAAATTATCTGTCCATGCAGCAAGATAATTTCACTTGACAAGATTTCTTAAATTAAGATTGTTAAATCTAGAAATAAGCATGTCTACAGAGGTGTTTGGAAGGCTTAAAATAAGCCAAACATGCTGGTTTTAAGATGAGATTACTTAAAAAGTAACTTTTTACAGCCTCTAAACAAGTGAAATATACTAAATATAAGCATAAAATCCTCGTTTTTAAGATTAGATTACTTAAAAAGTAACTTTTTACAGCCTAGAAATAAGTGAAACATAACTAAATTTAAGCATAAAATGCTGGTTTTAAAATGAGATTACTTAAAAAAGTAACTTTTTACAGCCTCAAAATAAGTGAAATATACTAAATATAAGCAATTACAAACAAAATCTTTCTTACTTTTAGCAAATTTAGCTGAAGATTAGTTAAGAAAAATATTAAATTTAGAGAAAAATACTACACTATTAGTGAAGAATGACTAAACTCTGTCTTAATCCAAGCAGGTTTATCTTGAAAATGAATTAAACTAAGATAGATTTGCAAATTCAAATAACAACCAAGCAGTTCAATCAATTAATAAATCAAATGACACAATATTTACACAACTTACATTTTTAATTCAAATTAAACAGATTTGCTAGTTCAGACAACTCAACTGAAACAGGGGTGCGGCCGCGACCGTAGCGTCTTTTTTTCTTTCACTTAACTTGAAATTTTAAGGCAGCCCTTTCGCTCATATTTTTAAGTTGAAACCATTAGTTACATTTTACAGTGCAGGCCTCGATGAGGTAAAACAATTCAAGCAAATAATTAAGTGACACTGTAATAAACTTGTGGAATACACAAAACCATTGTAAGGCATGGGTAACAATAAGAACAACTGACATGACAAAATACTGCTTGACATTCAGCTACTTGTCAATGAATGATTTCCAATCAGCCATTGCTTTCTTATATGCACTAGTGGCATCTTGATCGTGGATTGTGTCACCAATGACCTCTGTTTGAATAACAGAGAGGAGCGTTGCAACACATTTAGGGTATGTTAAATGCAACGTGTAGTAGTATGCCAATAGCACCAACATCCCTTCTGAGAAATCTTCCTGTGGAAGGGTGGTCACAGGTACATTACCAACAGCCACGATGGTGGTTGATCCATCAAAAAGCAGAACTGGGGAGGAGAGAGGACGCTTCTCCAGATACAGGGTGGGGTCTTCGCCTGACTGGAACAGAAAAAAAAGAACACTGCGTAGAGAGTGAGAAGACATAAAAATTTATTGAAAGTGTATGATCATTTTTAAAATGAAACTATCAGGTTGCAACCAATGACTTGAGCACTAAATTTAAATTCACGTTTAAAAACTCACATCGTTATTATCAGATGAATTGCTTTACAATAGTGTAGGGGGGAACATGTTAAACTGATGTAGGAATTTAGGATTGATTAATACCTGATACAAGCTGATGCAAGGTGCTAATGTTTCATCAGTGAATGAATGAATGAAATAATTAAAGGTTTTGCAAAACATTTTTTGTTATTTCCTTCTGTCAACACCATTTGAGGGACACTAGAGGCACTTCTGTTTTCCCCTTTTGACATACATTAGGTCATATCTATAACTGTGAACTTAGGTGTATTGTTACTAAATGTGAACAAGCACAATAATTTGAGAAAATAAAGGCACTTCAAAGAGGACAGTAAGGAATCAACACAAACATTTCTCACCTTCAGGATATGAAGAAGTGCCTCACAGCTATTCCCAAGCTTCTTTGGTGGTGAAGTTGGTGAGGGGAAGAGGGATGGGAGTGCATTGAAGAGGGCGAGTGTGAAATCCACTAAAGAATATAAGAATGAAAAGAATGGTCTGAATGTTGTACAAATATCAATACATATTGTATGGAACAGCAACTTACCACTGCGGACATCCAAAGGGAAAGGTGGTTTCAGGACTTTCTTCCACACACCGTAGAACTGCACCTTGGCACAGAATTCTGCCCATCTTCCTTTTACTTCCTCAATGTATCTGCTGTTGGTGCCACCTAGTATGCGCCGCAGCTCATCCATTGCCTAAAACAGCATTGTGCACAGTTCAACAGTTAACAATGCATTGAAATTCAGTACACAGATGGATACACAGTAACTCAAGTACAACAAACCAACATACATTTCGAACATCTTTGAAGCATGGATATGCCTCAAAGATTTTTGCAGGTCGGTCCTCTTCCTTTGTAACATCTGCATCAATGAAAGCCCGTCTGGCCTCAAACTCAAGGTCCAAAATATGAGCAACATCATTTTGATTGGGTTTTGCATTGGGCTTATTGTACATGTTGCTCAATGTTCTGTAGTGCCTAGCCTGCATCTTCAGACTGTCCTGGCCCACTGAAATGACAAAAAACCAAGCCGAGACATTTCAATGTTAACACTTTAACAACAACACAGGGGAAATAAAGCGTGGTTAAAATACAATGCACTATTTTTTGGGAAACTTTAATCCAATTTCATGGATGACAGGCTGAGAGGTGTGCTGAGGTGGGCTTACCAAAAACATCCTTTGCAGGCGTGGTTGGTGATGCAGACGTGGTTGGTGAAGCAATCGTGGGTGCGGAGCATGAGGCTGACTCGGATGGCAGCAGTGATGTTTTGGTGCCACTCTTTGGCTTCTTTCGCACAGAGGGGAGTGGTAGTGGGGATGCTTTTTTTTTTTGAAATAATGAAAAAATTCTCAATACAATTATATGACAGGGCAAAATAGGCATATATAAACACAGTGCATGTCTAGCCATGAACTCTGGTTCAACAAATGTGGACAACTATAGTTTCATTACATGATTAAACATTTTTAGTCATAAACAAATTTGTATGACAGCCACCCTTTCATTTTTTTCCCACAATTTGCATACCTGCAGAGTTGTCCTCGCTGATGTCATCATTGCTCTCAAGAAGTATGGTATTATCACTCGAGTAGCTTGTGTCTGTCCAATCTGTCTCCATGTCCTGGTTGTCTGCGCTGAAGAGAGCTGTCTTGGCCGCTCCTCTTTGTGGTACGGAGCCCTGCCTCTTCCTTGGAGATCTCATATTCTGGAGTCGCTTGTACATTTTGGTGTAGATGGTCAGCTGTGGTGAAAGAATGTTAGATAAATTGTTTGTCTTGTTGTTGACCTGTCCACAGTTTTGGTTGAGAAAAATGAAAAATATTACTTACATATGGCATATTTGTGTCAGCATCACGTAACATAGGATAATAGTCGACAATCTTCTGTGACATGGCTCTCATTTCCAGTTTGGAGGGGTATCTTGCTTGTTTACCCATGGGACTAGCACGCAGGATTGCAACCATGCTAGTGATTGTGTTCCTTACAAGTCTGCAACATAGCTCCTTTGACATCTTGTAGTTCTTTTCCTTTCCATTGCAGAGCAATGCAAAGTACTGACTACGCACCATGTCTAACTCTGAATCTGTGTACACCACATACTCTGGAGGGTCTGGCATTTTCATTGTTTTCTCAGCAGATATGGGGGTGGAGGCTTGCGGCTGGCATGGTGGCATGGAGCTAGTTGAGGGCATAATCCCGCTTCCACTGCAAGTGCTGGCATCTTGGTCCGTGGTATTTTCACACTATTAGGATTATGTAGGATGAAAACAAAATGCATTAGGACCATTAAAATATGGTACAATTTAATTTTAATAACTATTATTTATTCCAATTTGTGTTTACATTTTGATTGATGAACTCCCAAAGTTTCTTTCTTCTGAGAAAATGTCCAGGACCAGGAAAAAGATCCTTCAGGTCTTCCCGGCTAAGGCCTTTCAAAGCCTCCTCATCAACACCGGCAGCTGTAATATGACAAATAAATACCTTAAGATGAAGCAATGCCAAGCTACAGTACCAAGCAACATAAAGAGGGGCCATTTATCTCTCCCTCTGAGCTCCAACACATTTGTAAACTGTTTAACTAGTTGTCTGTGCTATGAAGCCTCCTTAAAGTCAGCGAAAATAATCATAAGCCTATCTCACAAAGATGCCAGCCCCAAATAAAATCAAGGATAAAAATATTAAAGTCTGGACTTTAAACATTGGGCTACCTTTATGCCATAAGTTCAGTGTTGGTCATATTTTTTTATTTATTTACATTAACTAATTTAATTAATTCATTTAAATTATTAATCAGCACATTTGAGCTGCAACTGTGGCTATTACTCAAAAAATCAGATAATGAATAGCAAATTTACTAATTAGGTTTTCTTTAGCTATCAGCTTTTATTATTATTCCAACAAACTACATGCCAAAAGCACCTATACATCAAATATAAACTTTATTTGTGACTTACCCTCCAAGACCGATACAGTGGCATCGTCAAAAATATCCATTCTGGATTCATCGGCTCCCCGACGAATTAGGCCCAACACGTGGTAGGCTACCTAGCAAAAACACAGCCAAACAGAGCTCGTTAGTTAGCATGCAAAAGTGCACATGAGCTAACACCACCTAGCTTGCTAAGCAAGTACCCCGGTGAAAAACAATTGAAACGGTAACCGTCACAGCAACAATCTGCTCTAAAATATGATTTTGGCGACTAATATTAAAAGTTCAATTAAGTTTACTGACCTTGAGCCGCTGTTCCTTCACGAATGTAACGTGCCTCCTTCCGTTACTCAAGCGGGGAATTATTATTATTTTTTTCTCAAGCGGGGAAATCACTTGGACGTAACGTAAATCCTGACGTCATTGAGGTGGGACAGTGAGGACATGAGCCGACATGAAAAAAAAAAAAAAAAATGAGCCGACATGAACTAAGGATGTAAACATTAGCTTGTTAATAAAAGATTTTTAAAACAAAACATTTACCATCTTAAAATTAATGAAATAACATATACTCGGAGAAATTTTGTGTTCAAATAATAAATACAAATGATAGCATGAGCGCCCCCTCCCCCCTCCGGGTCATCAGCCAGCAAACAGGCGCCAACGGTGCATCACAGACGGTTCGGCATGATGGCAGCGTGGAGGTGTATGATTTGTTTCGTCTTTGTTGCTCTAAGTCTTAAAGTCCTACTAAGCCACATTAATGCAAGCCACAGTCGCAGCCCGGATTTTTTGGTTTACTGTGGTATTGATGGATGTGAACAGGACTTTAGAGTTTTCAACTCCTTCTTTCGCCACATTAAACGGACGCACCTTCAGTATTTTCGGACTGGAAGCCCACCAAGTGGATGGAGTACGACGCCTTCTTCTCGCTCTTTGGGACAGGAAACATTTGGTGTGTCCGTTTTTGCCAGCTGTAGCACCCCTGCAGCGGACAGCACTGTGGCTGTCCCACCTGGTGCCTCTCTACCTGAACCGTCACAGCAGCCTGACGCTGTCGGCCGCCTTGAATCCGTAAGTCTCCACAGTTCCATTCGTTTTGACCTCTGAGGGCCTATCTCGCCAATTAATTTGCTCTCTGTGTGATGCTGACTTGTGTAAAGTGTTTTGTTTTGTTTTATTTTATTTTATTTCCCACATACAATGGTGTATTCAAAGCCTGGCTTCCTTGAATCCATACCGGGAATGCACGCATTAATCAGGAGTAGGCTATCTTACCTTCTTTTTACAGTCTATATGACACACTCTCTCTTTCATATACAGTAAGCTAATTGTCTTCAGTGAATGCTAAGTTACCTCCGTAACACGACGTTATTCACGTGAAACGCACATAATTGAACGAACTTCACACTTACCTTGGGAAGAGACGATAGAGCTGCTCAGGTCCAAGACCAGTGAGGCAAATGTGGGATTAAAATTATTTTTTCCCCTCTCGTGCGTCCTGTTCCTCATCAATTAGTCCGTATTATGGCACGCTTTTCTCCATAAGGAGAAATGGGACAAAATGTTTTCAACTACTGTAACGTTATACAGAGGGCAATAATTGGAAACATTTTCTCATAGACTGTATTATTTACGTGCTTTAGTTCATTTAGTTTTTAGTTGTAAACAAAGTAGTACCCAGTAAAGTTAAGGTTACCTCGGTAATTAGAGCTGGGTACTTACTTGCTGAATAATAACACTGCTGTCTGAGTCAATTTTACACACTCATTGTTTGTTGTAGTCTAATTTATAATCTTGAAAAAAAAAAAAACACTTCACTGTAAGAAAAACAAAAAAAACAACAACAATTCAAATCAACCCTGATTGTGTCTATCTACTCTTACTTTTATCACTTTCTGAAGGAGCAGGCTGTTGCTGTGACATCCAGAGCCAGACCTGATATTGCTAGATCTGCAGCGGCATTCGCCATCAGTGTCCGGGAACAGTGCCACTTGTCACAGGTAAATTTGTCTTGATGGACAAATGCTTTAATGGTACTATTGATATCGTATAATAATTCCTTGATTATACAATGTTTATTAAAAAATATAATTACTGTAATAATTCCTTTCTATATTTCAATGTTAACTATGGGCCTGTTAGCAATAATTATATGAGGGGAATATATATGTATATATATATATATTTTTTATATATATTTTCAGAGAACTGTCAACAGCGTCATCTCGGGGGTGCAACAGTACCAAGCTGCTCTCCTTGACACACTGAGGGAGAGAATCAGAAGGGTGTTTGAAGAGAATCCAGAGACAACTGCTCAGCTCCAAGATGAGGCTTTGGCTACTTTTGATACATTCACGGATCCTTTCTCAACCACAGCATATGGACAGAATAAAACTATCCGGGAACTATTCAATCCAGTCAACCCAGAGGAAGTTGTGATGTCCCAGAAGATTTGTTGGGTAAAGCGTGGTCCTTCAAGGGTCATGGCCTTAAGAAACAAAAGTTTTTACTATGTGCCACTCATTCAAAGTCTCAAGCAGTTACTGACCAATTCTAGAATCTTCACAATGTTGACCACTGTACCACAAAGAAGTAGAGAGGGATTCTTGTATGATTTTACTGATGGAGCCCTTTTTACATCCCACCCCTTATATTCTCAAAGGCCAAATGCATTGCAAATACTATTGTACACCGATGAAATTGAAATATGTAACCCTTTAGGCCCCCATGCCTCTGCAAATAAATTATTGATGTTTTATTACACTTTAGGGAATATTGATCCAAAATTTAGGTCCAAGTTGGCTGCTATAAGACTCCTTGCTATTGCCAAGGCAAATGATATTTCTCAATGCGGTGTTGATGTTATGCTAAAAAGAATCCTAAAAGATCTGACACTTCTTTACAATGGTGTTCGGATTGAAACCCCAAATGGTGAAATTGAGTTGTTTGGTGCGGTGATAGCCTTATGTGGAGATACACTTGCCCAACATGACCTTGCTGGGTTTAAACAAGGTGTTGGTTTTGCTTATAGCAAATGTAGACATTGTGAATGCTCCTTTGATGATATGCAAAGTATTTTTGAGGAGAATAAGTTTGCTGAAAGAACTTTGGAAAACCACATCAGGCAATGTCTTGAAATAGACAAAGCAAGCACAGAAACATTGAAAGCATCCCTCAAAACCACTTACGGGATTAACAGAAGAAGCAGGCTAGTTGATTTTCCAGCATTTGACCTGATCAAACAAACTCCACAGGATATAATGCATGTAATTTTTGAAGGTGTTGCACCAATGGAAATAAAGCTTGTGTTAAAAAACCTGATTCTGTCAGGACAGATAGAATTAGATGAGATTAACTCAGCTATTATAACTTTTCCTTACTCACCTCTAGATATACGAGATAAGCCATGTCCTATTAGTGTCAGCACTTTAGCTGCTAATGACAATAAAATAAAACAGTCATGTGGACAAATGTTAATACTTTTGAAAATACTACCTTTCATTTTGAATGATATGGACAGTGAGTATGTCAAATTTATTTTCAAATTAATTCAGATTGTTCAAATTATCCTTGCTCCTGTTATTTCATTAGAAACTGTATTGCGGCTCAGGCACATGATTGAGCAACATCTGCATCAGTTCAAAGAACTTTTTTCTGAATCCAATGTCATTCCCAAGCAGCATTACATGCTCCATCTACCTAGCCAAATCATATCTTTTGGTCCTTTAGTAAGAAGTATGTGTATGCGATTTGAAGCTAAGCATAGCTATTTTAAGCAGTGGGCTTCCAAGTTAAATTTCAAAAATGTATGTAAATCGCTTGCAAACCATAATCAGTTCCTTGAATGTTGTCAAAATGAAATAGGCACTGAGCATCCAATTTTTGCTAGTGAAAGAGAATCAGGGCCTGTCTCAGCTGTCAAAAATGTTGATTATGTTAAAAGAAAAGTCAAAGATTTTTTAGGCATAGAGGTCATGCAATCTGTTGTCTCTGTGAAATGGTACATCCTCAATGGAAATAAGTACATAAGTGGGAAATCTATGATTATTGTAGCTGTAGATGGTGCTTTCCCAGTGTTCGGACTGATTAAAGATATCTTTGTGATAGATTCCTCTTTAGTTGCTTTTGAGTACCAACGTTATGAAACACTGAATCTGAATCCAGAGTTGCTGGCATATGAGGTGGCAGTTCCCAATGTTGCCCAGGCTACAGAATTTGTAAAAGAACTAATTGACTGCATTTCCTATTTTCCAGTTAGTTTCAAAGACAATACCTTTGTTCCAATAAAATACAGTCTTTGTGACATTATTGCCCACAGACAATAATCTGGAGGAACAATAAGTACTGTATGTATGGGTGTATCATACCATACACCTCATGTATTGTGTTGGGTGAACCCAGTTTGCCTGTTTTCTGTTTGCTTTGCCAGTTTTGTGAACATCATCAGCTTGAAGTCAGAGAAATAAACTCTGTTTTTCAGATGCTTTTTGTGTGACTCTTGAATCAAGCAAGTTGAGTTTGTTACTGAATCTTAAAACAAGATTTATTTGAGGAGACTTTGGGTAAAAGATGTAATATATCTTATTTTAACAGTTATTTACCTCATTTTAAGATTCCCTGCCTATTTGAGACAAAAAAGACAAGGTTTGCTTGATATAAGATTGTAGTGTAAAGTTGAACACTTAAAATAAGAAATTAACTCTTAAAACAAGACAAATTATCTAACACTTCTAAATCTAAGTTTTTTTTTCTTGGTAAGAACCAAATAATTTGCAGTGTGGTCATAAGCTGCAGCTGCCCCAGGGCACGCTGACGGTTGGTATGGATCTGTCCATAGCTCCCCTTAATGGGGGCCACTTCTGTGTTCTAGCTAACCCCCCCGACCAATCAAGTATGATCTCAGTATGATCTCAGGCATCATGGCCGGTATAAATGGAGCTGGGATGGACAGTTATGGTCTCTTGGTCTGTGAATCCTGAGCTGCCAACACAGTGTAGCAAGAAGCCCTCAGGCAGAGACCAGCCGTAGTTTCTTTCTATCCTTACCTTCATGGGGTATGTTTATTTTGCTTTTAGGTTAAAGCTACGGAAATAAAACTAACTAAAATAAAGTACGGAAACAATTGTCACTGTGAAATCAATCAACTTGAAGAGTTTTAATACAAGTGCAAGATCTCTAAAGTGCTCTGATTAACCAGACGCCCTGCATCTCCATAAACGATGTCTTCTGCCAGAGGGAAGAAGCTGGAACACGGCTTTTCCAGGGGCCAGAAAAGTCATTGATTATTCTAAGAGTTTAGATTCATAAAGAACCTCCAGAAAAGGCAGCTCACAGTCCTCTTTCAGACCGGAGAATCTTGTTTAGTGCTCTCCTTTCTTTGTCTGTGATGTCACCAAACCACACAGTCACAGAACCAACAAACAAACTCTCAATGGTGCAGCGATAAAAGTCATTCGGGATCTTTGAATTTGTGGTAAATCCTCTAAGTTGCGGCAGAACGTAGAGACGCAGACGAGCTTTCTTAACGACCCGGTCAGTGTTTGTGTCCCATTTCAGGTCAGGTTATAAAAACTACACTGTCAGATAATTTTACACAGAAATAAACGTTAAAAGTCCATTTCTTTTCCAGTGGCTCACTTCGGTGGCTGCTCTTTAGCGGGAGGTTTGGATTTCAATCTGCCATAACGTGTAAACTCTGATCTGGAGGCCTTCCCAACTTTTCACACCACAAATTCAACTTTCCAATTTCTACCTTGAAACTTTATTGGCAAAACAATCCCCAAACACAACATGTTTTATTCCCCACTTGTGCCGCTCACCTCTGCATAATTCACGCCATAACTCACATAATTAGTCTGGTCCTGAATATTGCACTTTGCAGTCAAACGGACATTTATGAATAGCTCACTATATAAAAATAATAACTATGAAAACACAGACACACCCTCAAATCCGTGCACAAATCAACATTTCCAGCAGCTCACAGTAGCCCTGAAGAAAGTCTGAAATAACGAATGACCAGTCGAAGTCCTGCGTGTGTCAGAGTCCAGGGAAAGTCTGATCCCAGTAATGATCCAGGACACAACTCACCGGGCTAAAAATACACCCGGCCCAGAGACTTCGGAGAGAGATCATTTATAATGTGGACTTTCTGAAATAACATTATACGTCTGTGAGTATGTAGTAAGCACTTTCACACTGCTATGTTCACCATTTTGGATGACGCAAACATTTTTATATTAAGATAAATAGGACGACGGCACGGTGGACGAGTGGATACGACCCCCGATTCTCAGTAAGAACATCCTGGGTTTTGAATACCTGTCGAAACAAGGGTGGAGTGGAGTTTGCATGTTCTCTCCATGTCTGCGTAGGTTGCCTCCGGGTGCTCTGGTTTCTCCTACCACCAAAAACATGAACAAAAAGTAAAAATCCTCCAGCTCCAGTCCTAACCAAGCCAAATATGTGGGAGTTGGGTTCCCGGGCACTGTCTCTACGGCAACCATTGCTCCTGACGGATAGATATATAGAGAGTTTGGTCGGTAGATAGATCGATTAACAACAAAGACTCTTTTTCCTGCGGAGATGAAGACTGTTGGGAGGTGGACAGCAAATAATGACCTTATTTAGAACAACGCAGAGCGACAGTGGCTCAGTTGGTAGAGCATCAGTCTTCGAGCCACTGATGTCTGCTATCGTTGTGTCTTTGGGCAAGACACTTCACCCACTCTGCTTTTAAGGAGCGCAGAAGTAATGTTCATTGCATGCCTTGGTGTGTATTCGTCACACTGAAATATCCCCAATGGGAATTCTTCTTCTTCCTCTTCAGATTGGTGCGCACAAAATTAGAATGAGTCCATCTTTGTACTAGATTCTAGAGTTTGTAATTAGACGCAAAGAAAAGCACCTCAGACCGTTCTCATGACCTTCACTCTCAGTATGAGCTCCTCCCACTGAGTTAATCGGTTAAAGAACTGGTTCCTACGCACATCTGTGATCCTCCTGAAGGTGATGGTTTATGTTGGTCTTACTTATGTGTATTTTCAATGTAGCAGCCTGTGAGTCCAAGAGAAATTTCCTACAGGACATAAGTTAATCTTGAATCTTGACTCTAGATAGATAGACAGATAGATAATGTATGGATCCCTGTCTGCTTGATTTTGACCGTTTTCTCTGTTATGCGTAATACACCAAGTTTGTACTGTTTTTATTTCGACTCCAGCAGGCAGATTGTATCACAGCCGACCCCTCTCACCCTGCACATGGACTATTCCAACCACTCCCCTCAGGCAGGAGGCTGCGGTCCATCAGGACTAGAACCTCCCGCCACAAGAACAGTTTCTTCCCCTCTGCTGTTGGACTCTTGAACACTTCTTAACCTGTCCCCCCGCCCTTTATAAAGTCACTTTACTGCCCATCATACGTCACTTTACTTCACTGTACTGCTGTCACCTTACATTGTGTGCACCATGTGCACTTGTACATTGTAAATAGTAACTGTAACTCTATTTTAAATTTAAATTTATTCTTTAGAAGTGTTTTTTATTCTTATTTTTATTATCTCTTTTTGACTGTTGCACTGAGCCAAAGCAATTTCCAAGTCTGTGACCTCCCGTTACTTACGTTGGCAATAAAAATGATTCTGATTCTGATTCTGATTCTGAGATTGCATCAGTAATTGGTGTCACAGACAGGGAGATTCTGGCAACAAAAGCACAAAGATTTACGGTTGTCAGAGACTTAAGACCAAAGTGCAATACATCTTTCTCCCATTTTTTGGCCCGACATAATAATAGCAGCGCTGTGTCCTCTTTTATAACCCTTACATCATTAGTGTGGGAATCTATGTTTTGAGAGCAGGCCTATATAGAGTTCTAGTAGTCTATAATTTCCCAGACCATGAGATTGCGGCCGGAGCAGAACAAATCAAATGTCACAGAGCCTCCCTGATCCGCGGCCGTGGACACACTTTGAGGGCAGTGTTTTTGCGAAGGGCCTGTCACAGAATGAGCTCATGTGACGACTCTGACCAGAACTAAACCTTGGGCGAATGCAGCGATACAGTTTCACCACAACTCACCGAACAAACCGACAAACTGGGAGTGAAGCCCAGCTGACAGCAGGAGACGGGTGTTCCCAGAGAGGTGTGCTGAAGAGGCTGGTTCTAACTGGATGGACTGGTCAAACCGACGCCACAGACGCCTCCAAAAAGCCAAAAGTGTGTATCACGGAGTTGTACTTCTGCTCTACTCCTGATGACTTCATTTTGACTTTCTCTCACGTTGTGCTGCTTGTAAAGAACATTTGAAGTAGCAATATGTAAGATTTTCATGTCCAGTCATCATTAAAAAAGGTCTCTAATCTGTCAAAAGGTATTGATAAAACCTGCACTTTTCCAATACTTCTTTCCTTTAACTGATAACAGTAGTTCAGAGATATTTGGATTTTCATTTCGATGTCCCGCCCTCCACCGTTTTACCAATCAGAAAGTCTGTGATCCAGGTGCCAGAACTCACCGTGTCAAGCTAATCTCACTAAAGTACCACTAAAAAAGGTCTCGTTATGATTCTCAAATTGACAAACATTAATGACAAAACAAGAAATAAAACCAGGATTTCTATCTTTGTGAAAAAGGTGTTGGTTATAGATTTGTTGTTGACAAAACTCTATTCAGCTGTTATGGTCCCAGCTGGATTCGTCTGCATATCTGGCAACCTGAGTCAGGGAGAGTGGGAGAGGCTGCAGTACCACTTTTGGCCAGATTTGTACAGACTGCTCCTTTAACTGATGCAATAACAATAACATTAGCAAAAGATTATATTGAATTTTTGTCTGCAGTAAAGTATAATATTAATAATAATAATAATACTAAAGGTTTGAAGCATTTACTGAGGAAATGGGCCTGAAGCTGCAGATTTCTTTCATACATCACAGGTCTTTTTCTGAAGATAACTGCTGTGGTTCATCATCCTGGGTCATGTGACTCCGTACCATTAGTGTAAAAAATCAGGACCAATCCCAATCCATCTCTAAATGAACAAACCCATCAGCGCATCATAGCCCGTATAATTACAAAGAACCTTTCCTCCGTGACAAGGCCCAAAGAAGAAATTTCGTGACAAATGTGCAAATACTATTGATACTCACAAGGACATAATTCATAATAAATGAGTTTGCAGTTAGATTCATGAGTGGCCAGAAAGTTCCCTGCTGCTTTAACCACAGGGACGATAACGCTTAACATCTGTGAAGAATGAAGCACAAGAGATGCGTTTCGACAAGATCACAATAGTTTGGTTAAATCCGGGGGTTTCTCCTCTTTTTCTGGTTATATTACTCTTCTTGGAATCAAAAGCAAGACAATAAGGGAAAAAAAGGTTCCTGGTGCCTCCTTGCTGTGGGTCAGGCCTGTCCCACTGGAGGAGGCCCCAGAGAAGAGCCAGGACCCTCTGCACCGGGAATGGCTCAGGATTCCACAGAATGACCTGGAGGAAGATGGATCATTAACTTGTGAATGTAGTAAAATAAGTTATAAACATGTTCTATACCTGAAAGTAAATTAAAAATATCCACCTCAGAAAACCTCACTTTAAGTTTACTTTGGCCACAGAATCAGTTACCATGGAAACACTGCATCGGTCTCCCCCCGTCTCTCAAACATGGCTTCCCACTTCCACAAATTATGAGAGGGAAAAGGGTTTGTGTTGTCAGTCATAATGTCCATCCGTGAAAATCTATTGTTTTCTATTTAGTCCTTGACCAGCGTTAAGTAATGTAGCTACTGTAAAGTTTTTCTTTTTACAGTAATGTGGTACTGGAAGGCGTTCCCTAAAAAAACAGGGCTAACCAATGTGGTCGGCTTATTCCTTCACATTCACTGTGGTTTGCTGATGTTCAGAGCAGTTGGTGCTTCATTATAAACAATCCACCGAAACTTATGCCATGAAAAAGGTTCCACAGTGCACCTAAGATAAATCAAATCTTAATTAGCGTGTTAAAGTCCTTACCCTAGTTCAGCAGTATAACACATCTACTTCAATAGTATTTGTCTAGAAGTGATGTTCCTTTCTGGTAGAAGATGCTGAGGCTGAAGCAGAAGCAGGTCTATGTGGACAATAGTACATTTTACAGATGGACAGACTCATTATTTAGATTTGTTGGAGACAAAGATGTGGAACAGAACAGTTAAATGCATTTCATGATATATCATAAGCTACATAGTTTATATATTTGGTGAAATAAACTTCAAAGTAATGCAGTAGTAGTGTAATCCTTGACAATTCAGAGACATTATTTTGAAACAAAAGTAACAAATAACCCTTCATGTATGACGTTTTTGAAGTAACTTCCCCAACACTGTTCTTGATAAAGACTTGCATTCAAAGGCGAGCCCCAAAAGAACGAGCTGATTCCAAACACACATCCGGCAGATGAACCCTCTGGTCTGGAACTGATCCTGGCTGCTCCTGATGCTGCAGATAAGTCTGAGCACCATGAGCTAATGCCAGAGCGTGGAGCTGTCAGGTGTGCGCCGCGGCGTGGACGGGCTGTGACATCACCTGCGCCGGCCTCAGGGATTACTCATCAGCGCACTTTGATGGTTGAGGACTTTCGGAACGGGGGCGAAGCTGATTAAGCCGTGTGAAAGTGGGATCGCAGAGGCACACGCCCGGCTCTCCCTGATTTGGCTCCTCTGGGACGCCGTCTATCGCTTTGCTCTGGGACCACGGCGGAACATGAGATGGAGGATGACAGTCTGATGCAGAGAAAACTGTGGGAACAAAGCATTACAAAGCAATGTTAAACTTATGGAACAGGCCACGTTATCATTTCTGCTTTCTGAGGAGATGGGTCTCATCGAGTCCAGACAAGGGCCAGGAAGTAAGACCACATTAGTCCTGGTCTCAGGTCTCTGCACCTGTGGCTCAGAGAACAGACTTTAAAGCAGCTCTGTTTGTCACAAGTTTCTTCACGATCTTGCACCAAAATACATCTGTCCAGAGTCAGAACTAAAAATGAGGAGGTTCAGATTTACCCAGTAAAAAAATCAGGAACAGTCTTCCGGAAAATGTGAGACAGGCTTCTTCTCTGACATGTTCAAAACCAGTTTAAAAACATTTTTGCTTCGCTGCAACAACTGAAGGATTGTGACTTTCCTCTTTTTAATGTACTGTGATTATTTATTGAAATTCCTTGTCTGATTGTTTCTATCCAGTTTTGTTCAGCACTTCAAGTTGCCTTGTGTATGAAATGTGCTCTATAAATAAACTTGCCTTGCCAAGTGCAAAGAGTATAGGCCAATACCATTAGAATAATGGTAAGAACATTACAGTATTTTGGATCAATAATGCATCACTTTAGCAGGAAATCATGAGAGTTTGGGCACCGGCAGGAGGCCAGTCCCTGTGCTCCTCAGAGTCCCAGCAGGAGGCCAGTCCCTGTGCTCCTCAGAGTCCCAGCAGGAGGCCAGTCCCTGTGCTCCTCAGAGTCCCAGCAGGAGGCCAGTCCCTGTGCTCCTGAGAGTCCCAGCAGGAGGCCAGTCCCTGTGCTCCTCAGAGTCCCAGCAGGAGGCCTGTCCCTGTGCTCCTCATCTGCAAACAGTAGCTGACTCACTTCAGCCTGGTTACCGTGCCAACCTGCTCCTGCCGTTCCGTCTCACATCACACAAAGTTCTGGGATTGCACAGGACACTTCTCTACCTGTTTATTTCAGGAAAGTCTTGGCTCATCTCGGCCTGGGTCTGTTCCACGCTGCCATTCTCACAAAAACAGTTCAGGATCCATTACGGCGGCGCTGGGACCGGTGGACGAGTAATTGGAAGGAAAAGTTTGTGTGATGAGACTTTGGATGAAGAATGGAGCAGGAGCAGGCACTCTCGCCCACCTCTGATCCAGGGCAGACAGGGCCACATCCTCTGACTCAGGGCCATTGTTTGAACCAGTGGGAACAGAAGTAACTGTTGGGAAAGAAATGCAAAGTTTCCCTTCAAGACGATGCATGTATGCAGTCCGTCTCTAAATGTATCATGAGCACGTTCTCTCTGCTTTCAGCTTCTTTGCACAGACTGGCAGCGAGTTTTTGATCTGTTTAATATTTTGTTTGCTTGTAAAGCCTTGAATGTACTTGTGTGTACAGTGTAATGAATGCCTTTTTCTACTTTTATTTTTATAACTTGTTTGCACCTTGAGCCAAAGGAATCCAAGACGAGATGAAAAACCCAGAAGACAGGTCCTTAAACCTGGGGTTCAGGGCCTTCTTGCTAGTTTCTCTCTGGTCTCTCTCTCTCTCTATAGTCTCTCTCTGGTTTCTCTCTCTCTCTATAGTCTCTCTCTGGTCTCTCTCTGGTCTCTCTGGTCTCTCTCTCTCTCTCTCTGGTCCCTCTCGCTTGTCTCTCTCTCGTCTCGCTCTAGTCTATTTCTAGTCTCTCTCTAGTTTCTCTCTAGTGCTTTCTCTGGTCCCTCTTTTCTTCTCTTTTCTCTTTCTAATCTCTCTCTTTTGTTTTTCTAGTCTCTCTCTGGTCTCTCTCTTTTCTCTTTCTAGTCTCTCTCTCTCTCTCTCCCTCTCTCTCTTTCTAGTTTCTCTCTGGTCACTCTTTCTGGCACAGAGTGGTTGCCTTTCTTCAGGCAGTGTGCCCCAGGGCAGCTGTGGCCATAGTATAGTTTACCACCACTTTGTATGAAGTGAATACAGTTGGCCATCATAGGTTCACTTCAACTGTGAGAGACAGAATGTGAAAAAAAAACATCCAGGAATTTACATTGTAGGATTTTTAAATAATTTATTTGTAAATTATGGTGGAAAATAAGTATTTGGTCACTTCAAACAAGGAAGATCTCTGGCTCTCACAGACCTGTAACTTCTTCTTTAAGAAGCTCTTCTGTCCTCCACTCGTTACCTGTTTTAATGGCACCTGTTTGAACTCATCTGTATAAAAGACACCTGTCCACAGCCTCAAACAGTCAGACTCCAAACTCCACTATGGCCAAGACCAGAGAGCTGTCGAAGGACACCAGGAAAAGAATTGTAGACCTGCACCAGACTGGGAAGAGTGAATTTACAATAGGCAAGCAGCTTGGTGTGAACAAATCAACTGTGGGAGCAATTATCAGAAAATGGAAGACATACAAGACCACTGATAATCTCCCTCGATCTGGGGCTCCACGCAAGATCTCATCCCGTGGGGTCAAAATGATCATGAGAACGGTGATCAAATATCCCAGAACCACACGGGGGGGACCCGGTGAATGACCTGCAGAGAGCTGGGACCAAAGTAACAAAGGTTACCATCAGTAACACACTACGACGTCAGGGAATCAAATCCTGCAGTGCCAGACGTGTCCCCCTGCTGAAGCCAGTGCATGTCCAGGCCCGTCTGAAGTTTGCCAGAGAGCACATGGATGATACAGCAGAGGATTGGGAGAATGTCATGTGGTCAGATGAAACCAAAGTACAACTGTTTGGTATAAACTCAACTCGTCGTGTTTGGTGTTTGAGTTGAATATTTTTTATTTTTCCAAATACTTATTTTCCACCATAATTTACAAATAAATTCTTTAAAAATCCTACAATGTGACTTCCTTGATTTTTTTTTCACATTCTGTATCTCACATTTGAAGTGATGAAACATACAGACCTCTGTCATTATTTTAAGTGGGAGAACTTGCACAATCGGTGGCTGACTAAATACTTTTTTGCCCCACTGTATAATGAATGACATGAGAGGCAGCTCTAAGTATCCATGAAAACGCCATCACAGACAGAAAAGAACTCTCATTTGGTTAAGAATGAATCTGTTCTGATTCAGACCAATCGGACGACTCGGCCAAAGCACTCTCCATCTTTAACGCTGCAGCTTTGAATCCGTCACGGTTGAGTTGAACCTGTTTGTGGTGAAAGGCTCTGGTTCTTTCTGGACAGGCAGACAGATAGACACCCTCTGCCAGCTCGACCTTTGCAGAGGCTGGAGTTTCAGGGAAAGTCCCCCGCCCCAGAGCTCCTGTCGGGCTGCGGAGCTGGCACAGACCTGGGGACGTCTGACGGACATCCAGAGGGAGGAAGTGGGCCTCAGACAGCGACACATGCACCTATTAGTTTAGAGGATTGGAGTCCGCATCGGTCTGTAAGTCTTTCTACTGGGACGGTCATCAAACCACTAAAGGTCACTGAGTAAAAGTGCTTAAATCACCGCAGCCCGGCGTCCAAGTTCTGATGTCCAACACAAAGAGGACCTTTAAACATGACAACACAATACAGAGAGAAACACGCACGGAAACCAGGCTTTTCGAGGTGTGTCTCTGCAGAAACAGAACGTATTTTTAAAGGAGACAGAACGTTCCAATAATTTATCACCAACTTCCACTAGTTATACTCTTGTGGTTCCACACAAACGCCACTGCAGCAGAGTAACGGCGTGGATCACTTTAGTTGTGTGAGAAGAGAGATCCTTTATTTTTCCCAAAGTAGGGAATTTTCAGTGTTGCAGAGCAGTAGGGATGTGATAAATGAATAATAACTCTATACTAAAATACAATCTATAACTTCAGTTTAAAACTGTATATTCCAGTGCAGAAATATAAATCTTAAGTCAGACTGGACGACCAACGGGACGTCATGCTGCCACTCTGGCTCCTCCCCCTACACACCTGCACTGAGCTCATCAGCCTCAGTCTCAGTGACACACCTGAATTCATCATGGCTGCTTTTAATCAGAGCCTCTCAGTTCACTGCAGCTCAAGCTGCTGTTCGAGCAGCAACTCACCTCCTCCCCATCACCGCCTTTTCAGTGGAGTCATGTCATGTTTTCAGCTCAGCTTCTCCGTACCAGGTTCTAGGTTCCCAGGGGTCACAAGCTCATCATTTCTATTAAACTCCCTTCTGCAGACGTCATGCAGTTTTCCCGCCGGGGGTCAAAGCTTTTAAATAAATATAATAATCCTCAATCTAAGTCTGCTGGTGTTGATTCATGCATTTTGACATTAAACATTCTAATGATATCTCTCTTGAGTCTTTCCAGATTGAAATATAGTTGCATGGTGAGTGGACACATGTGGTTCTGTATTGCACATTCGGACAATAGTTCATTATTAAGCGCAAAAATGAATTTAACATTGAAAAGATTAACAATATGTTTTAACTTATTTGCACCGAGAGCCAAAGCAATGTCCTAGTTTGTGACTTATTGTTGCTCAAAATAAAAATAATAAGAATAATTCCGATTGGTTAAAGCTGGGGGACCCAATTTCTCCTCTGTCCAAACAGTGTGGTGTTTGTGTGATGGATCATGCATATAATAAATAAAGACCACATTTATTTATTTTTTTACTGGATCTAAATGTAGGATATTTCTGTCATTGCAAAGTGAGTGAAGATAAACAATTTTAACATTTCATAATCGTATATTTTAGGGAATTTCTAAGAAGTCCAATGGTTTGAATGGAGCATTTTGATAAATAGTTCCCAACATTGTAATAATCCATTTTTCAAACTGCGGTGATCTTAACGGGTTAATTCTGGTGTAATATCCTCAGACAGACGAGGAGCCGGCGGTGCTGCCTCAGACCCGGACACCTCTGCTGGAGCGGGACATCCCACACAGACCTGCCAGGGACCAGACGGCTGCAGAGGACCCCAGACCTGTCAGACCCGCTCCAGCTCTGTCTGACGGAAACACAATGTGGGCGGACTGTGGACTTTTTTGTCAATGTTTCCTCACGTTCTGGGCATGTGCTGAGAAACTCGCCGGCAGAGACACATTTATGTAACGTGAGATGTAGACAAACTTTATTTATCCACTTGCTTTGACTTGGATGAATAATTATGACAAAAATTGACGTTTGATTTGGAATGTCTGTGTGATTCCCCATTTTTCAACTGCCTTCGGATCGATTCAATGTATTTGTGTTTAGCCCTAAATCATAGGTATCTCGGGTGACACAGCTGTCCATTTGCCAACACAGATCAGAGAATCAAACCAGAATCAAACCAGAGCCATTGGTCCATAAGGGGCGGAGACCAATGTCCATAAATGGCAATGGACTAAACCAGTATAACAAGCAACAAAGGGCCGTTTTTCTGATCTCCCGAGACTCTGGTAATCAGCTGAAAGAAATTTGTAGACTCATTTATAAAGAAACATTGTCACTTGTTTGTCAGCTTACAAACAGTGTGCCACATGTGCAGTGCCCAGGATTCCCTTCGGTCTATTTGCTCTTTCATGATTCAATACGGATAGTGTTAATTACTTTAATAAAGACAACTACACAATACGTCGTACGGAGGAAATAGTTAAAGAGTTTAATGATTATTCCGTAAATATAGGCTATAATTTAGCAAAGAAAATTGTACCCATTCCAAACAATGAAATGGAAATTGGGGTTACATATGAAAGTCCAAATTCATTTTTTTTTAAACCCAACCAATAAAGATGAAATATTGAAAATAGTGAAAGACTGCAAGAATAAAAATTCAACTGATAATGATGGGTTTGATATGTTTATGGTTAACCCTCTATGCACATGGGTCATTTTGGGGAACTTTCCTCGCCTGGTTTTCTTTGTGTATAATTGTTCATAAAACAGTCATCTTTTGATGCAGAGTCAAGCAGTATACTTTGTTTTTTTCAGTACAACCTGGGGTTTTAGAATATTCATATTGTAAAGCTGTCATATGAATTATATAAAAATGATGGAATCATAAAGACAAAGAAAAAAATCAAACAGAAAATCAATTTAACAAAAATGTATTGAAAAAACACAATGAAATGCTATAAACAACTTTTTACACTGCATAGAAATGTTATTTATGGTCTTGGGGATAATGGGGAAAAAAATTGAATCTCTAACTATTATACTTTTTACAAAATTCCACTATAAAAGCAAAAAACTCTGTACTCCTGATGCCCTTCCTGAAGCAGTTTGTCTATAATGCTGGGGTTGCTTCTGTAGTACAGCTGTAAAAAACGTAAAACATAAAAAACTGAGCCAAAAAAAAAAAAAAACATCAATTATTTATATAATACATATATTTATATACATCATATACACATAATGTCATTTTACTGTATTTATTATCGTCTTTATCAATAATGCGCACTCTTCAGCCGGTTATTGCAATCGCAGCTGTAGTTTCAACTGTGGGACAACAAGTACAGACAGAGGAGTGAGAGATCTCACTCTCTGACGATCTTTGGCAGTCCCCGTGTGTTTGTATCTCACAGCTGTTTGTACCTCACGGGTCATGCTTTGGACACGGACTTTCAGACAAACGTAGTTTATCCTCTGTGCATCGCACAGACAAATCAAAACTAGTTTCGAAAAGCCCTGAATACGTACTTCACAGAGGAAAAAAAAGTAAGTTGCTACGTTTTACCGTTCGCGAGTAAATTGATCATTTGTAAAACATGTGCGCGTGCATCGGCGCCGATGCACGCGGGCATATAGGGTTAAACATATTATTGAAAATATTATTTATCCATTTACATATATTTGTAATCAATCCTTTAAAACTGGTATATTCCCAAATCAAATGAAAATATCAAAAGTTCTCCCACTGTACAAAGGCGGCGATAAACATTTGTTTTGTAATTATCGACCTATTTCTCTGTTGTCACAATTTTCAAAAATATTAGAGAAATTATTTGTTAAAAGATTAGATAGCTATGTTGAAGTAAACAATATAATGAATGAATATCAGTTTGGTTTCAGAGCTCATAGGTCAACAACAATGGCAGTTGTTAAAATGGTAGAAAATATATCACAATCAGTAGATAAAAAATTACATACAATCGGAGTTTTTTTAGATTTACAGAAAGCTTTTGATACAATCGATCACAAAATATTATTATATAAACTGGAAAAATATGGATTTAGGGGAAATGTACATTCTTGGTTAGAAAATTATTTAACAGATCGCTTTCAATATGTTAATTTAAATGGAGTTGCGTCCTGCTTACAGAGAATTAATTGTGGGGTTCCGCAAGGCTCCGTTTTGGGCCCCAAGTTATTTTTGTTATATATAAACGATATTTGTAAAGTATCGGACGTTCTTAATTTCATTCTCTTCGCGGATGATACAACAATTTACTGTTCTGGCCCAAATCAAATAGAGCTTGTGTTGGTGGTAGAGAGAGAATTATATAAACTAAAGAATTGGTTTGATTTGAATAAATTGTCACTAAATTTAGATAAAACAAAATTTATGGTATTTAGTAATAAAGAGATTAATAATGAGATCAAGATCACTATTGACAAAAATGAAATAGAAAGAGTAAATCATATAAAATTTCTTGGAGTAATTATTGATTGTAAAATGACTTGGAAACCGCATATTTTAAAAGTGCAAAAGAAAGTATCAAAAACGATTGCAATTTTGTATAAGTTGCAATATCCATCCATCCATCCATCCATTTTCTTCCGCTTTATCCGTTGCCGGGTCGCGGGGGCAGCAGTCTAAGCAGAGACGCCCAGACTTCCCTATCCACACACACTTCCTCCAGCTCGTCCGGGGGGACCCCAAGGCGTTCCCAGGCCAGCTGAGAGACATAGTCCCTCCAGCGTGTCCTGGGTCTTCCGCGGGGCCTCCTCCCGGTGGGACGTGCCCGGAACACCTCCCCAGGGAGGCGTCCAGGAGGCATCCGGAACAGATGCCCGAGCCACCTCAACTGGTTCCTCTCGACGTGGAGAAGCAGCGGTTCTACTCCGAGCTCCTCCCGTGTGACTGAGCTCCTCACCCTATCTCTAAGGGAGCGCCCAGCCACTCTGCGGAGGAAGCTCATTTCGACCGCTTGTATCCGCGATCTCGTTCTTTCGGTCATTACCCAAAGCTCATGACCATAGGTGAGGGAGGGAACGAAGATTGACCGGTAAATCGAGAGCTTTGCCTTTCGGCTCAGCTCCCTCTTCACCACAACGGTCCGATACAGCGACCGCATAACTGCGCATGCTGCACCGATCCGCCTGTCAATCTCACGCTCCATTCTTCCCTCACTCGTGAACAAGACCCCGAGATACTTGAACTCCTCCACTTGAGGAAGGACCTCTCCACCCACCTGCAGAGGGCAAGGCACCTTTTTCCGGTCGAGCACCATGGCCTCGGATTTGGAGGTGCTGATTCTCATCCCAGCCGCTTCACACTCGGCTGCAAACCGTCCCAGTGCATGCTGCAGGTCCTGGTTCGTTGGAGCCAACAGGACAACATCGTCCCGCAAACAGCAGAGATGAAATCCTGTGGTCTCCGAACCGGACCCCCTCCGACCCCTGGCTGCGCCTAGATATTCTGTCCATAAATACAGTGAACAGAACCGGTGACAAAGGGCAGCCCTGCCGGAGGCCAACATTCACCGGGAACAGGTCTGACTTACTGCCGGCAATGCGAACACAGCTCTGGCTCCGGTCATACAGGGATCGGATGGCCCTCAGCAGAGGACCTCCGACCCGGTACTCCCGGAGAACCCCCCAAAGGACACCCCGGGGAACACAGTCAAACGCCTTCTCCAAATCCACAAAGCACATGTGGACAGGTTGGGCGAACTCCCATGAACCCTCGAGTATCCGATGGAGAGTATAGAGCTGGTCCAGTGTTCCGCGACCGGGACGAAAACCACACTGCTCCTCCTGGATCCGAGATTCGACCATCGGCCGTAGCCTCCTCTCCAGTACCTTGGAGTAGACCTTACCGGGGAGGCTGAGGAGTGTGATCCCACGATAATTGGAACACACCCTCCGGTCCCCCTTCTTGTAGAGAGGGATCACCACCCCGGTCTGCCACTCCATTGGCACTGCCCCCGATCGCCACGCGATGTTGCAGAGACGTGTCAGCCAAGACAGTCCTACAACATCCAGAGACTTTAGATAATCAGGGCGGATCTCATCCACACCCGGAGCCTTGCCACCATGGAGGCTACCAACCACCTTCGTGACCTCAGCCAGGGAGATGGATGTACCCGCCCCAACGTCCTCAGCCTCTGCCTCTGTAACAGAGGACGTGACGGGGGGATTGAGGAGAACCTCAAAGTATTCCTTCCACCGCCCGACAATATCCCCAGTCGAGGTCAGCAGCTCTCCACCCGCACCGTACATGGTGTTGGCAAAGAACTGCTTCCCCCTCCTGAGGCGCCGGATGGTTTGCCAGAATCTCTTCGAGGCCGACCGATAGTCATGCTCCATGGACTCTCCGAACTCCTCCCAGTCCCGGGTTTTTGCCTCTGCAACAGCCCGGGCCGCGGCACGCTTGGCCTGCCGGTACTGGACAGCTGCCTCAGGAGTCCCCCGAACCATCATGGCTCGATAGGACTCCTTCTTCAGCCTGACAGCATCCCTTACTGCCGGTGTCCACCACCGGGTTCGGGGGTTGCCGCCGGGACCAGCACCAGAGACCTTGCGACCACAGCTACGAGCCGCCGCATCGGCGATTGAGGCAGAGAACATGGTCCACTCGGACTCCATGTCCCCCTCCTCCGCCGGGACCTGGGAGAAACTCTCCCGGAGGTGTGAGTTGAAAGTCCGTCTGACAGGGGGCTCAGCGAGACGTTCCCAGCAGACCCTCACTATACGCTTGGGTCTGCCAGGTCTGACCGGCTTCTTCCCCTGCCAGCGGATCCAACTCACGACCAGGTGATGATCGGTTGACAGCTCCGCCCCTCTCTTTACCCGAGTGTCCGAGACACGCGGTCGAAGGTCAGATGATACGACAACAAAGTCGATCATCGACCTCCGGCCTAGGGTGTCCTGGTGCCACGTGCACTGGTGGACACCCTTGTGCTCGAACATGGTGTTCGTGATGGACAAACCGTGACTGGCACAGAAGTCCAACAACTGAGCACCGCTCGGGTTCAGATCAGGGGGGCCGTTCTTCCCGATCACCCCTCTCCAAGTGTCACTGGCGTTTCCCACATGGGCGTTGAAGTCCCCCAGAAGAATAACGGAGTCCCCGGGTGGTGCACCGTCCAGTACCCCTCCCAAGGACTCCAAGAAGGCCGGGTACTCTACACTGCTGTTAGGCCCGTAGGCCGTCACAACAATGAGAGACTTGTCCCCCACCCGGAGGCGGAGGGACGCGACCCTCTCATTCACCGGGGAGAACTCCAACACGTGGCGGCTGAGATGGGGGGCAATGAGAATGGCCACCCCAGCTCGCCGCCTCTCCCCGCGGGAAACTCCAGAAAAGTGGAGCGTCCAACCCCTCTCAAGGAGTTGGGTTCCAGAGCCCAAGCTGTGTGTGGAGGTGAGGCCGACTATCTCTAGTCGGTATCGCTCAACCTCCCCCACGAGCTCGGGCTCCTTCCCCCCCAGTGAGGTGACGTTCCACGTCCCAAGAGCCAGCTGTTGTGTGTGCGGACTGGGTCGCCGAGGTCTCCGCCTTCGACTGCCGCCCAGTCCTCTCTGCACCGCTTCACCACGGACCCCTCTGCAGGTGGTGGGCCCACAGGAGGGACTGCCCACGTCATCCCTTCGGGCTGAGCCCGGCCGGGCCCCGTGGGCTAAGGCCCGGCCACCAGGCGCTCGCATACGGGCCCCGACCCCAGGCCTGGCTCCAGGGTGGGGCCCCGGCTGCGCCATGCCGGGCGACGTCACTGTTTTCGTGTTAGTGCTGTCCATGGTGTCTTCTGGACTGCTCTTTGTCTGACTCGTCACCTGAGACCTGTCTGCCATGGGAGGCCCTACCAGGGGCATGAAGCCCCAGACAGCATAGCTCCCAGGATCATCCGAGTACTCAAACTCCCCCACCACGTTAAGGTGGCAGTCCAGGGGGGAGTGGCAGTCCAGGGGGGACTGCCACTGCCAGTTGCAATATATTTTGAATAAAAATGCATTACATTTACTTTATAGTTCACTTGTCACACCATACCTAACATATGGTATCGAAATATGGGGTAGTACATATAAAACTAGAACCAATCCAATTTTTCTATTACAAAAGAAGGTTATCAGATTAATTAATTATGCACCATATAATTCACCAAGTAATTCACTGTTTCTTCAATCAAAAATCTTGAAGTTTTATGACTTAGTCAATTTGTACATGGCAAAGTTCATTTACCAAGTTAAACATAATAAAATTCCTAAATGCTTGCAAATATTGTTTACTCAACGAGAAAGTAATTATAATCTCAGAGGACTGTGTATATTTAACCAACCACAAGTACATTCTACATTAAGAGAACATTGTTTATCAAATAAAGGAGTTAAATTATGGAATAGTTGCTGCAATGAGTTAAAACAAGCCACGTCTCTTTGTCAGTTTAAAAATATATACAAGAGAATAACAATGGAAAAATATTTAATGGAATGAAAATGAATTCTTCTGGTGTGGACAATGGTCCATTAATGTGTTAATTTTATGAATAGATGTTGTCATTAATGTGCTGCATTTATGATTTTGAAGGCAGGCACAATAAGCTCTAGCTTCTGCCTGCACCTGGTCATTTATTGTGTTCTAAGTTTCAAATGTTTTGTTTGAATGATCTGTAAATGACCAAACCGAAATAAATGAAATGAAATGATTCTCCAATATTCAACTTTGGGTCATGGTGTGGATTCTATTTTTGTACTTTGGTTTTAGTTTGACTTCCTGTTTTCCCCTGTCGTGTTGGTCTGCCCCGCCCTGATGTGTTTCACCTGTGTGTGTGTCTATATGTACGTGTGTGTCTATATGTACATGTGTGTGTGTGTCAATATGTACATGTGTGTGTGTGTCTATATGTACCTGTGTGTGTGTGTGTCTATATGTACCTGTGTGTGTGTGTGTCTATATGTACCTGTGTGTGTGTGTGTGTCTATATGTACGTGTGTTTGTGTGTGTGTGTGTCTATATGTACCTGTGTGTGTGTGTCAATATGTACATGTGTGTGTCTATATGTACATGTGTGTGTGTGTCTGTATGTACCTGTGTGTGTGTGTCTGTATGTACTTGTGTGTGTGTGTGTGTGTGTGTGTCTATATGTACCTGTGCTTCTCTGTGTCTATATGTACCTGTGCTTCTCTCCCTTGTTGCTGGTTCATCGTCTTGTTCATGTCTTTGTCTGTTCCGTTTCGTTTTCCTTGTGGTTTTGGATTTTGAGTTTGTTTTCATCTTTTGTTTTTACATAATTAAATTACTTTTTTATTTTGGCATTCCTGCGTTTGAGTCCTCGCTCACCTCACCCCGTGACACTTTGAGTCCAGTGGAATGACACCAAGTAAAGTCCCTCACATCCATCGTCCGTTCATTTCTTACACCTCCCAATTTGGACAGATAGACCAGAGAGAGACCAAAGAGAGACCAGAGAGAGACCAGAGGGAGACCAGAAAGAGATCAGAAAGAGACCAGAAAGAGACCAGAAAGAGACCAGAAAGAGACCAGAAAGAGACCAGAAAGAGACCAGAAAGAGACCAGAAAGAGACCAGAGAGAGACCAGAGAGAGACCTGTCCTGGCTCTGTCCTGGCCCAGTCCTGGCTCAGTCCTGGCTCCAGCCGTCTGCGTCCCGGTGCAGTGGTGGCTCAGCCTGTAGCCGCGGTCGCCCTGGAAAGCCTGTGGTCGTCAGTGGTTAACCCTGGGGTTGCTGTGCATGCTCCACACAGAGCGGCGTCCAGTTTCCGGAGACTCTGACGTCGGAGAAATCACTCAGAAAAATACAAGTGTGTGCTAACGATGAGAACATGGCTAAACTTTCCAACGTGTTATGAAACAAGCTAAACCGGGCCGTGTTGAGAGCGTGTGTTTTACGGCGTCGGTTTGTTCTGCAGAAGGATTAAAGACAGGAAACTTGTGGTGGGAACTTGTAATTTGTTAAATGTATATACGACAAGAGAGCGGTATAGGAACTACGAATTACTATGGTTTTTTAAAGAGCCAATAAGTGCTGGTGGATTTGCACTGGACGTATTTTTAACACAAAAATCTCATTCGGGTCTAACTTGGTCTTTAAAGAGCGACTGAAGACCAAATCAACTTTTTTAAATCATAAACTGCATAGATATGTTTATTGTAGTACTTTCTACATATCCTGGTCTTTTTTTTGGCATTTTTGTGCAAATTAGATAAAATCTCACTTTTAAGGTTAAAAACGTCTGTGTGGCGCCCTCTCTACTTTTTCAATGGTACTACATTTGTCAGTTGGTGTGTGTGACGTCGGTTGGTGTGTGTGACGTCGGTGTGTGTGACGTCAGATGGTGTGTGTGACGTCAGTTGGTGTGTGTGACGTCAGTTGGTATGTGTGTGATGTCAGTTGGTGTGTGTGATGTCAGTTGGTGTGTGTGATGTCAGTTGGTGTGTGTGACGTCAGTTGGTGTGTGTGACGGCAGTTGGTGTGTGTGTGACGTCAGTTGGTGTGTGTGACGTCAGTTGGTGTGTGTGACGTCAGTTGGTGTGTGTGACGTCAGTTGGTGTGTGTGACGTTGGTGTGTGTGACGTCAGTTGGTGTGTGTGTGACGTCAGTTGGTGTGTGATATCAGTTGGTGTGTGTGACGTCAGTTGGTGTGTGTGACGTCGGTGTGTGTGACGTCAGTTGGTGTGTGTGTGACGTCAGTTGGTGCGTGTATGATGTCAGTTGGTATGTGTGACGTCAGTTGGTGTGTGTGACGTCAGATGGTGTGTGTGTGATGTCAGTTGGTGTGTGTGATGTCAGTTGGTGTGTGTGATGTCAGTTGGTGTGTGTGACGTCAGTTGGTGTGTGTGACAGCAGTTGGTGTGTGTGTGACGTCAGTTGGTGTGTGATATCAGTTGGTGTGTGTGACGTCAGTTGGTGTGTGTGACGTCAGTTGGTGTGTGTGACGTCAGTTGGTGTGTGTGACGTAAGTTGGTATGTGTGACGTCAGTTGGTGTGTGGGACGTCAGTTGGTGTGTGTGACGTCGGTGTGTGTGACGTCAGTGTGTGTGACGTCAGTTGGTGTGTGTATGATGTCAGTTGGTGTGTGTGACGTCAGTTGGTATGTGTGTGATGTCAGTTGGTGTGTGTGATGTCAGTTGGTGTGTGTGACGTCAGTTGGTGTGTGTGACGTCAGTTGGTGTGTGTGACGGCAGTTGGTGTGTGTGTGACGTCAGTTGGTATGTGTGACGTCAGTTGGTGTGTGTGACGGCAGTTGGTGTGTGTGTGACGTCAGTTGGTATGTGTGACGTCAGTTGGTGTGTGTGTGACGTCAGTTGGTATGTGTGACGTCAGTTGGTGTGTGTGTGACGTCAGTTGGTGTGTGTGACGTCAGTTGGTGTGTGTGACGTCAGTTGGTATGTGTGACGTCAGTTGGTGTGTGTGACGTCAGTTGGTGAGTGTGACGTCAGTTGGTGTGTGTGACGTCAGTTGGTGTGTGTGATGTCAGTTGGTGTGTGTGACGTCAGTTTGTGTGTGTGTGATGTCAGTTGGTGTGTGTGATGTCAGTTGGTGTGTGTGTGATGTCAGTTGGTGTGTGTGACGTCAGTTGGTGTATGATATCAGTTGATGTGTGTGACGTCAGTTGGTGTGTGATGTCAGTTGGTGTGTGTGACGTCAGTTGGTATGTGTGTGATGTCAGTTGGTGTGTGTGACGTCAGTTGGTGTGTGTGACGGCAGTTGGTGTGTGTGTGACGTCAGTTGGTATGTGTGACGTCAGTTGGTGTGTGTGACGGCAGTTGGTGTGTGTGTGACGTCAGTTGGTATGTGT